GCTTATGTGGTGCTGAGGAATCGAACCCAGGAACTCATGCATGCAAGGCAAGCACTCTACCACTGAGCCACCTTCCCAGCCCTGCAGTTTATATTTATTAACTCAGTTAGTTCCTGAAAGGATGCTAAGGGAAATTAGTATCCTCATTTTATAGATGAGAAAGCTGAAGCATAGAGAGATTGAGTAAGTTGCCTAAAGTCATAGTTAACAAATTGGTGTACCCAGAAGCCAAACCCAGACCACATGGATCCAGAATTCCATACCCTTTGTGTGTGTGTGTGTGTGCCCGCACGTGCACACGCATGTGTACTGATACTTGGGCTTGAACTCAGGGTCTGGGCACTTTCCCTCAGCATTCTTGCTCTAGGCTAGTACCATATAAGCCTCAGCTCTATTTTCAGCTTTTTGCATGGTTAACTGGAGATCAGAGTCTAGTAGACTTTCCTGCCCAGACTGGCTTCAAATCATGATCCTCAGATCTCAGCCTCCTGAGTAGCTAGGAATACAGGTGTGAACTCTCAGTGCCCAGCTTCAGATTCCCTACTGTTAACTTCCTGCTGTAGATCCTTTCATAGGTACAGGATATGTTTGGGTGCCTGCATTGTCTGCATACTTAGGTGTCTTAAGTAGCTCGTTCTGTCAGTGTTGATTCTCTCTGAAAACCCAAGCTCAGTTTCTAACATCACTTCTGCCATCTCTTCTCACTGTAAGATGATGTCTAGCTAAATGGAACAGAAGGGCTACCTTGATGTAATGGTAGAGATAAGAGTAATGGTACAGGCTTATGCTTCTGTTGACTTCTCTAATCTTCAAAGTGTTGGCCCTTTTCCTGTCAGTGGCCAATGGTGAGACTTGCAGCCTGTGATTCTTTTTTTTTCCCTTCCACTGCTATTATGCCTGCTGGTCCCACTGTTGTGTTGTCTCGGGGATCTGGTAAAGATTTTGTTTGGATCCTGGTCTAGATTTCACTGCAGTTGTTTCCTACTGTGCTGTCTCACTCAGCGCTAGCTAGCTAGTTCCACAGCCAGCCTGTCAGTTATTTTGGGACCGCCTCAAAACATGTAAAAAACTACAAATGGTTCAGGAAATCAAGTATCAAGGCCAGAGTCTCCTTGTCCTACCAAGTAGACGGTACCCCAGTCTTAAGTTAATTTCAAAGTAAGGGATTGCCTAAGGTGGTCTATTTCCAGACTATTAATTGTAATTCTTATTAGCTACACACTTTTCTTCCCATGCCAAATCTTTTCGCTGCCCTTGCCTGCCTTTATTTCATGTTGGACTTACTCGGGCCTCACTCTCCTTCATATCTTCGTTGCTGTAACTCACACCTTCAGGCCAGATTCAAAGCTAAGTGTTAGTGGGAAATTGTAGGGACCAGATGGAAGAGAGTGGGAAAACTGAAGGAGCTGCGTCGTCCTGATAAGGGGTTCATGTGCTACAGGGGCGTGGGAATAAGATGAATTTGGAAAGTCTTCCCCTGGAACTGTGCAAATTCTGTTTTGTGAATGTCTATCGTAGAATTTGACCTTATCTTTTTGTATCCCTTTAGTGAAGTATTACTTGATATGGTGCTAGGTAGCACACTCATAATCCTAGCTACTCAGGAGGCTGAGATCTGGAGGATCTAGGTTTAAAGCTACTACCAGAAGATAGGTCCAAATGACTCAATCTAAAAAGAAAAAATAAAATCAACCAAAGAAACAAAAAAAAATAGCTAGACTATAGGTGTAGCTCATATGATAGAGTGCCAGCTAAGCAAGAAAGCCAAACCAACGCATCCTAAGTTCAAACACCAGTACTATTTAAAATAGAAAAAAAAAGTCTTATATTTTTCATCATCTCCTAAAGGATGGTTCAGATTTTCCAAGGGAAGTTTATGAAAGAGATCTACTAATATTTTGCAAAATGGGACCGTACGACATGCATTCTGTTTTGCTTTCGACTAAGCATTCTCAAAGTGGAGTTGGCTTTATTGTCAAACTAGATTTCTCATTTCTGATGCAGTTCTGAATCCTGTTTTCTTTATGTTGCTTTTTAATTTTAATATAGCATTTTCTTTTTCCAGTGTAGTGTCTTGAAGTACGTGCTTGAAGATAATAATATAAGTAATGTATAATGTCTCCTTGTAACAAAACTATCTAATATTATAAATTGTCATTTGAATGTAGCTTTGGACTCATCTTTTTATTTTTTTTTATTTTGCAATACAA